GAAAGAGAGAGAGAGAGGGAGAGAGAGAGAGAGAGAGAAGTAGAGAGAGAGGGGGGAGGGATTTTCGGCACTGTGGGTGGTTGGAGGGTGCTCTGATGTGGTTTGCTCCTTCTTTCCTATCAAACATCTAACGTCCTTCGGTATTTATGTGACCTTATTGTGTTGCAAGTACCGTAAAACTCTTACAAAAACAAAAAACATCTTCGGCACTTGTATGACATATTGTGTTGCTAGTGCCGTAAAACGCTTACTACTACAAAAACTAAAGACATGAAAATCCCAGTAGAAAAATTAGCTAGCTCATAGTGATGGTATCATTTCTTTAACTTTACGTACGATAACACGGGACTTATCCGTGGGATCAGAATATTACGGCGGAGAAAGTTCGATTTTTACAGAAATCAACAAGGGGAAAAAAACTCTTTTTTCTGGTTTTTCTGGTTTTTCCACTGGAGTCTTTAAATTACAATTGGGCGCTCGAATAACTGACACGCGTCGGGAATTGATACATTTCCTCGACACATCCATAATTTGGGTTAACCGCTAATGAAAAGTTAAAGAGGTTTTAATTGGGGGTGGACAAAAAACAACAACTGTACGAGCTATCCGTTATCCGTAATTTTGAGTTTTTATATGTTCCTGTGTTGACATTATAATCTGTGCCCGACGGTAAATTTGATAATAAGCCTAAATTCATATAATTAGTATTTATAGTTCTGATGGACTAAAAAGAACCTGAGGATACCAACGTTTCGTTATAAATATCTGATGAATATTTTTAAGCAAGAAAAGAGGCGTGTATAAGAAAGTAAGTGACGGGTGAAGTACTGGGTTTTTTATTCTTCAAGAGCTAAAAGTACGCGGCGACGGAGCGCCGAACTTCAGGTAAGCATTTTCATGAGCTTTTTGCCTAAAAGTAGAAACAAGTGGAAGCCAAGAAAGCACAAATTTTATTATTCAAATGTGCGATGATTAAAAGTGGACTTTGATAATTCCTTGACATAAGCGTCAAATTTTAATGATTCGCAAAAGACAAGTCTAGGTTGAGACTGTCGAAGCTGCCCCAGGGCTGAATTTGCCCCGAACCTTCCCTACGTATACAAAGAACGTTAATTGTAATCATCCTTGACCATGACATCTTATGTCCCCCACAGAGTATCGGCCAACTGAAACAGCTCATGTTCCTAGACGCCAGCCAGAACCAGCTGCAGGAACTGCCGGGGGAGATCGAGGGCTGCGTCTGTCTGGCAGACCTTCACCTTACCAGCAACAACCTGCTCTCCTTGCCTGATTCAGTCGGTGAGGGCTGATGGATGGATGGATGGATGGATGGATGGATGATGAGTGGATAGATGGATGGATTATGGATGGATCCGATGGACGAGGGAGGGTGGGATGGATGGATGGATGGATGGATGGGTGGATGGATGATGAGTAGATAGATCGATGGATTATGGATGGATCCGATGGACGGAGGAGGGAGGGCGGGATGGATGGATGGATGGATCCGATGGATGGATCCGATGGATGGATGGAGGAATGGATGGATGGATCCGATGGATGGATGGAGGAATGGATGGATGGATGGGTGGAGGGAGGGAGGGAGGGAGAGAAGGAGGGAGAGAAGGAGGGAGAGAAGGAGGGAGAGAAGGAGGGAGAGAGGAAAGGAGGCAGAGAGGGAAAGATGAATGGATGGAGAGATGGATTGATAGAAACAGGGAGGGAGGTAGGGAGGGAGGGAGGGAGAGAGATGGATGGATGGATGTTGATGCATATAAATATAATTGAAAAAACATGAGAACGAACTGATACAGGATAAATGTTGTGCACCACTGTTGTGATACCAAGCAGGACCTGTGGAATTGTTAATATTTTTTTTTTATGTTGTATTATTGTTCCAGGCAATCTCAACAACTTGACTACTTTGAAAGCTGATGACAATCAACTGACGTCATTACCCAAGACACTTGGAGGGTATGTTCCCTATAGCTGCCAAGTTATTTCGTTATGCTGTCGCCGTCGTTTTATGCAAGAAAAATTCTGAAATTATGCAAACTGAGCCCTAAAAATGTGAAATTATGCGATTCTATTAATTTCAACAAAGGATGATAAAGGAAAATAATCAGAAATTATTCAAAAAATTAATGATCAAATTTTGTTAGATTATGCGGGGTGCATAAAACCACGGGGACAGGTTGTAATATCATTAGTGGTACCACTGTCACACTCTCTGTCTCACTTTCTCTCTCTCTCTCTCTCTCTC